CAGAAATTTGACGGCCTTTATGACACCTGATGGGCTGAGAAGGTACACTCGATGCTGTTTTGGTTTGTCCTCTATCCCGGCAGCTTTCCAGAAGGTGATGGACAACATCTTGGCTGGACTGTCGGGGGTCCAAGTCTACGTCGATGACATCATCATCTTTGGTGAGAACCAGGACCAGCATGATGCTCGTCTTCAGCAAGTGTTGGCCAGGCTAAAGGAGTACCAGGTAACCTTGAACGAGGAGAAGTGCACCTTCAGCACCACATCTCTAGAGTTCCTGGGCTTCACTGTCACGAAGAACGGCTTCAAGGTGAGCGAGAACCGCGTCAAGGGTATGCGGGACATGAAGTCGCCCAGCACGGCTAAACAGCTACAGTCGGCCTTGGGACTGTTCGGCTTCTACGCCAGGTTTGTGAGCGACTTTTCCACACTGGTGGATCCACTTCGGGGCACCCTGAAAGCAGAGCGTTTCCAGTGGACGCAGGAGCTGGAGACTTGTTTCAGGGAAGTTATCTCCAAGATCATCAACAGCTCAGCGCTCACGATGTACGACCCAGATCGACCGACTGTCGTGACATCAGACGCTTCGGATGTAGGCCTCGGAGCAGTGCTGAGTCAGATCTACCCCGAAGGTGAGAGAGTTGTTTCTTTCGCATCAGCCACTCTATCAGACACCCAGAGGAAGTATAGCGTTACTGAGCGGGAGGCCCTTGCGGCCAAGTGGTCAGTTGAGCACTGGCATAAGTATCTTTTCGGAACCCACTTCACCTTGCGGACGGACCACCAAGCCCTACAGTCGCTCTTATCATCAAAGGGGATTGGTAGGGCAGGAATGAGGCTGTCTCGATGGGCAATAAGACTCATGGCGTATTCGTTCAGTGTGGAGCATGTTGGTGGTTCCAGAAATGTTGCAGATGGCCTCTCCAGACTGCCAGCCTCGACACACACCCCAGAGGATGACGACCAGCTGATGGCGGCGATCACTGACAGGATCGCGCGTAAATCTGCGGTAACCAGAGACAGCATACGAGCGGCGGGCGCTGAGGACGAGGAATTGACCAGACTGTGCAGGCAGATCGTGTCTGGCTGGCCAGCTCGCTCGAAGGACTGCCCAACAGACCTGCAGCCGTACTACAGGTTCAGAAATGAGCTTACGGTTGTCGAAGGCCTCATACTCCGTGGCGAGAGAATCGTCGTCCCGTCCGTACTCCGGCAACACCTTCTGGAACAGGCCCACGAAAGCCATCCAGGCATCGTCAGGACTAAACAACGTCTACGGGAACTCTTCTGGTGGCCAGGTATGGACGCGGCAGTGGAGAACATAGTGAAGTCCTGTACAGTATGTGACGCTGTTGATAAGAGTGCGAAGCCGCGCAACATCCTGCTTCAACCGGTTCCCTTCCCGGAGAAACCCTGGTCTAAGTTGGGAATCGATTTCATCGGGCCGCTAGAAGGAGGGGGAATAGGTAGAAGATTCGCCATTGTCATGACAGACTATCACTCAAAGTGGCCGGAGGTGGCATTCTGTCCGCACCCCTCATCCCGCGCAGTAATCAACTTCATGGAGACAGTGGCTGCGAGAGAAGGGTATCCAGAGGAGCTGGTATCTGATAACGGCACAGCGTTTACATCTCATGAGTTTACAAAGTATCTGAGGGAAGTTGGAGTCAAACATATTCGGGTCACCCCATACCACCCAAGAGGGGCAGGAGCAGTGGAACGATTTAACCGTGTGCTTAAAGGTGTCCTACAGACAGCTTCTCTTGAAGGACAGGACTGGATGGTAGCTGTGAGGCAGTTTCTGCTTCAATACCGGGTGACATCGCATGCCACAACCGGCCGGAGTCCCGCAGAGTTGCTCCGTGGTCGACAGCTACGCACGCCTCTGCGAGCAGCAGCAGATGGTCAGCACTGGTTTGTGACCAATGAACAGGTGAGAGCCAAAGTTGAAAGACAACAGGCTAAGCAAAAGTTATACTGGGACACAAAGTTCAGCGCTAAAGAGAACTGTTTCAAAGTTGGAGACTATGTACGCTACAAACTGATGCCTAAGCCCAGGAAGGGATGCTCCAAGTTCTCAAAGTCATTGGAGATTGTGGAGGCTAGAGGTTGTCATTCCTTCTTGCTGAGTGATGGTACCCTGGTGCATGGAGAACGTCTAGTTCGCTCAAGTGCCTTGTCTGAAAGTGCAACCCCTCTGGCAGGAGCGGACATGGTGGAAGGTGTCGAAGCAGTCTGCAAGGATGGTTCATCTACCGCGGACCAGCCATCGAGGATGATGGTAGGAGCCTCACAAGAGAGGATGATGCGACCTCCAGCAGCAGAAGTAACCCCGTCGGGCGGCAGGATCGAGGAAGTCCCTTCAACAGGGGACGTGTCGAACAGGAGTGCAGCATCGGAGGTGTCGGGTGATCAGCAGAGTGATGACCCTGCGCCTGAGCGTAGATCGGGTAGAGAAAGGAAACGGCCCAAGAGGCTCATTGAGGAGTGTGGTTGATGCGTGATACTGTGATTGATGCATAAGGTGATGGGCACATTGTAATGGTGTTTTCCGTTGGCATTCATTACTAGTTTCTTGCTTGTAATGGCGTTTTCTGTTGGCATTCATTACTAGTTTCTTGCTTTATTTCTAAGGGAAGGGGAATATAGTGTTTGCATGTTGAGTTCATGGTGCTGCCAATTTAAAGGTATTTCCCTATGTGGCAGCAATGGCACATTGGTGGCGCACACGTGACAATTGTGGTACGGTTTTGGCGCCAAGAGTTGACCTCTGGTGACCGGTGACCTGAGGTCAACAGACTGGTCTGGAGTGTGGCTGAAGAAGCATTGATACTGTTGCTATTTATCTTGTTATTAATATACCATGTAATTGTCAAGACTTGATTGTGTCAAGACACTACAGTCATCAAATCAAAGGAAATAGTTCACTTTCCTGAAGTATTTTGCTATGGATTTATGATTTTTATCCTCAAAATGATCAGAAAATAAAATAAAACCTTTCTGTAAAAACAATTATTTTCTACATTTTAATATAGGAAGAACTATATTCTATGTAGAATGATGTTTTGAGTTTGACGCGGAAGCTTATTACGCGTTGACCAATCACATTGCGTAGTTCAAACCTGCGCATGCTGCATTGGCTGTAAGCAGCATGCTGATTGGCTGACGATGATGTAACTGCATTCCTTTCTAAGACACCACAGTCCACATTCCTGCGTAAGACACTCTTTTTGGAACGGGAAATTGAATATTTTTGCTTAGGGTGATCGTTGAGCCGTAGAAGCTTATGATTTGCATAGGTGTCGATTTGTATACTTTTGGGTGTGCCCGGGCACCCCAAATGCTGAGTTGAGCACCCCCCAAGGGGCTCTGGGCACCCACAACCAAATTTGGTACTGGCATCACTGTATGATTTAAGTGGTCCCTGTGTGTACCCAGTTGTCGCCTCAAGTGTTAAGTTATGTCTAGGGGATTTGTAGATGCCGTGTCTTCTGCCCAGGCACGTACCCAGGATTTCGCCCAGGAGGGGGCCACCTGCTTTCGAAGGGGCCCCCCACAGTGTATAGGGCCCCCCAGGTTTCCTGGGGGCCCCCGGGAGTCATGAAGAACCTTTCGATGGTGGGGGGGGGGGGGCATAGTGGGTCCGGTCTCTCCTGCAGACGTAGGTGAGAAAACGCCACGTGTGTGGGAAAACGCAATTCAGTTCTTTACAACCTAATGTAGCATTTGGTTGTGATTTCTCGCGTTCAACTTCATCAAAGTCAATTAAAACGGTCTCTGTAACGGTCTAAGCCTTGAGAAAATGTGGAAAATTGGAAAGTAAAAATATTTTTGCTTGAGGAGTGTGAATGAAACGCACGGCATTTTATGAGCGAGCGCCTCAATTACTGAACATCCTCCAATTCCGGATATATAGGTATATAATATAACCCTCGCACGACCAGGCCATTTCTCATAACACGAACGACCAGGGGGGGTTGTTACGACCCCCCCCCTGGCGTTTCGAAACGGAAGGTCGTAGAGCTTAGCGGAAAAAACCAACGGATTGCTCTCAACGAGATCTCGCGATTGGTGGTATATTTTTTTGGTCCTAGGTCAACATTTGACCTACTTATGACCGGTCAAAGGTCAAATTTTCCGAAAAAAATCAAACTTTTTCAACTTTCCGCGGCAATTGCGGCAAAACGGTGGGAGATATCGACTTGAAACCTTCACTATCGTGTTCCTTGATCAATTTTCTATCGTTTGGTATGTATTTCGTTTCCCTAGCTCTAAAAATGGCGCGTCGGGAGCGCCGGAAGTCGGCAAGGTCACAGTCGGCGGCAGAAATTCGAAAAATCAAAATTTAAATTTTTGAAATCTGATTGTATTTTTGGATTTGGGAGGTCCATTTGCTCCCTATAGAAGCTAATATTGCTGCATATTCCCATTGAGGTGACAAGAATTAGCAAAATAGTGGTTCGGGCGCTTTTCAAAAATAGTACCGGACGCTGTTCCTCTTGTGACGTCATAGCTCCGTGACCTGACCTGACCCGGTCAATTTTCTTGCACCACACGATAGCCAATGCTTGCCCCAACATGCATGGGAAGTTTCATCATGATCCATCAAACTGCTGTGAGCGCCGTCTATTTGCTGCATGTGCTGGTCGTGTGACCGCTCGTGTGACCGCTCGTGTGACCGCCCGGGCCGCCGCTCGGCGCAGCTGACCGACCGACTGCCTGGGGGCGGGGTCGAAGGTCGGGGAGCTGCGCGGTCGAGACGAACCGCCGCTGACCGACTGATGGTCACTCTCTGACCGGCCGTGATCCAATACAGTCCGTCTGATGAAGGAGTGCTTGTGAGTGAGACGGCGGCAACATAACAGTGGCGACGAGAGAGGAAGAACTCAGAGAGGAAGAGCTCGGTAAAGTATGCCTGCTCACGGCAAACTGGAACCGTTTGATGCGCAATCTGAGATACTCACTGATTATTTGGAAAGATTTGAGTTTTACTACTCAAAATGGCCAGAAGTGCGATACATGTCTAGCACAACGGCTACTAAGACCATCGAAGTGTTGACGGACATTTTTGCAACGCATGGTTTTCCGGTGACGTTGGTGTCAGACAATGGCCCGCCGTTTACCTCTGGAGAGTTTCAGAGCTACCTGGCAGCGCGAGGTATTCATCACCGTCTGACACCGCCGTACCACCCAGCGTCAAACGGGCAGGCGGAGTCTCTGGTACGTACCTTCAAAGCTTTTCTCAAGAGGTATGCAGGACCCAGACCCACAGCAGTAGCACAATTTCTGGCAAAATACAGAACGACTCCATCCCCGCAGGGGGCTGACCGTGGTCAGAGCTGCTGCTTAGCCGGGGTCATCTGGCTCCGGCTGTGCGGCGGCTGTGACTTCGGCCAGTAAGGGGAGTAGCGCCCCCTCGGCCCCAGCTTGACGCGCGTTTTGACCTGGACTTGCCTTGCTTACTGGATGGATTGTCTGCAGGATTGGCCCCGCAGGGGGTTGGCAGTGGCCGGGGTCGCTGTCGGACTGGGTTCCTTGGGCCTTTGCCCCGCGGCGGCCTTGGCCTCGGCCAGCAAGGGGAGTAGCGCCCCCTCGGCCCCAGCTTGACCCATGCTTGCTTGCGACTTGCTTTGATCGCTGGTTGGACAGATGGTACGGCCCGACTTTTCTTGGTTTTCGTGGTTTTGTTTCTCTTGAGCGGTCTCTGTTTGCTTTTGCTTTGCTTTTCACCGGATGTCCGCGTTTCTTTCGATCACAGCTTTCTGATTCTTTTCCTACCTTTTTCGTTGTTTTTTGCACCCGCAGGAACACAGCCGAGTTGGGCTAGTGTAAGGGGAGTGGCGTCCCCTCGGGTACCAGCCGGTTTTACTAGGCTAGGCGAGCCGACCCGTACCCCAGGACAACGGGATCCTGGAGGTTGAGCCCCCCACCGTGCGGAGCCAGTCGCGGTGGCTGGGCAACACGCCTCTTTGGCCCTGAGTTCTGTAAGGGCGGGACACTCAGTGGGGCGCCGCACTTGAGGAGCCATTCCCAGTCGTGACGCCGCCGGGGGGGGGGGTGTCTGAGAGGTGTCGCCGGCGGGGTTCGGGCACTTGTGCTCGTCCTCCGTCGGTGGGACTGATCTGTCGCTGCCCCTGGCGGTGACTCGGCTAGGCGTCAAGGGAGGAGGCGGTATCCGACCGTGGGGGGTGGTGAGTCTCTCTCTCCCCCGCGGAAGGTGCCGCCAAGTCCCGTACAGTCAGCTCGGCCGTCCCAGGCCTTGTAGCGGCGCCGTTGCGGAGCGTCGGCGGCCGAGCTGGCGGAGACCAAGCACACTCCATGGATAACTCGACCAACCCCCCTTCCCCCACTCTTACCAATCCTTCGGCCTCGGCCGATCCTCGCCCGTTGGCCTCGGCCGACAGGCGAACGGTGCTTGAAAAAGGTCCACGATCTCCTAAGATCCTCATCTTCCGGAGCGCAGACAGGGAGCTGAGCTCTCTGTCGCCCTTCCAGCGGAAGGATGGCTGCGACCGGTTTGGTTCGATAGTTCGTTGTGACCGGATGCGTGATGGCGCGCTGGAGGTCGAGTTCAGGAAAAGCGAGGAGGCGGCGAAAGCATTGGACGCTACTCGCTTCGTGTTCTCCGAGGGACGGGCATCCGGCCGGAGGCTCGTTTCCATCCCGCTTACAGTGGAGCCCCACCGTTCTAAGAACTCCTCACGAGGGGTCATTAACTGTTTCGATTTGAGGGGAGTGAGCGACGAGGATATTGCGGACGGGCTCGCCGATTTCGGCGTGACAGCGGCTCGCCGCATCATGACGAAGAGAGGCACGGTCTCGACCAACAACATCATTCTGACATTTGACTCTACCGACTTGCCGAGTGAGATTCGCGTGGGCTACGTGAAGGTTCGCGTGCGGCCTTTCGTCCCAGCGCCCATGCGCTGCTTCCGCTGCCAACGTTTCGGCCACACAAAGGACAACTGCCGATGAAGACCCACGTGCTCCAAGTGTGCTTCGCAGGACCACACTGACGAAACCTGTGACTCGGAGACCCCCCGATGCGTCAACTGCGGAGAGGGGCAGACGCCGCACTCCGCGTATGATAGGTCTTGCCCTGCATACGTCAAGGAGAAAGAGATCATGACCATCAAGGCTACCAGAAATCTGTCTTTCAAAGAGGCCCGGGAGGTGTACAACCAGAGTCACCCGAAGACCTCGTATGCCCAGAAGGTGAGAGTCACAAACTCTACCGATGCCTCCCAGATGAGCGTAGCACAGCTCGTGCAGCTTCTCAAACGATTCGGCCTCACCGTCGTAGCCACTGGTGACTCAGCGGACAACACGGCGCCTCGTGCGCCGCCGAGCAACACAGAGCAGGCTGCTCAAGAGTCAGTGTGGGGTCCACCCAGTCCCGCTCCAGCCGCGAACGGTAATGGAGACGATTGGACCGTCGTCCAGCGCCGACAGGGTGGTCGGCGCCCCCCGGCGCAGGGTAAGGCGCCACCCACCCCGCCCCGCCCCCGACCGTCTACGGCGGTGCAGGAGGCTCTGCGGCGGGGGGAGGAGGAGAGAAGGGCACGTGAGGCGAGGAGGGCTCGCCTCGTCCAGAAGGCCCTCGAGGCTAAGGAAGCCTCGTCTGCCGACTCCGCCTCCGGGAGTGCCAATGCGGCTGTCGCCGCTGACACCCCGGAGACACCTGAGGCGGGGACTCGGCCCATCATGGGTCCCCCGCCGCCTCCTCCACCTCCGCAGCGGCGGCCACCACCGCCGCTGCCAGAGACGCCTGTGTCGAGGACACAGGCCGCCGCCTCGACATCCCCGTCGGGGCGGCAACAGCCCTCCGCGGCTCCAGGGCGCCTCGCCAAGCGGCAGACGCCCCCGAGCTGGTCACCTTCGGAGGGCGACGCCCCCCGGTCGAAAAGGCCCCAGCCGGGCGCGAGCCATGCCCGATCTGCCTCTGCTGAAGGGAGGCTTCACCGAGAGGGCTCAGGGCACCCCCGTATCCGCTACGGGGGGAGCGCCTCCTCGGAGTTAGAGGACCTAGTCTAGTCTTTCAGTCTAGTCATTTCCTCTTTTATCCTTTTATCTTTTTCGCGCTATTGCGCTTTTTTACCAGGTGCATTTCTCTCGGTACTTTTTACCTTTTTTGTGGTCAGTCAGGTATCTGTGTGCGCCTTTGCCTCATGTTATACGCGCCCTTTTTGCGCCTTTTTAACCACGCCTTTTATTCTACAGTGGAACTGTAGAGGCCTCCGGGCCAACTACCAGGACCTACAGTCTCTTATCCGTTGGCGCACACCCCTTGTTTTAGGTCTCCAGGAGACCAAGCTAGCGCCAAACGTTACCTTTGCCATCAAGGGCTACTCTGTTTTTAGAAGAGACCTGGACACCCCTACCATTGCCCATGGAGGTGTGCTTCTGGCGGTTCACCACAGCGTACCTGCTCGCCAGGTGCCGCTGCAGACTCCCCTGCAGGCGGTGGCCGCCAGAGTTGATTTCAACCACCGGGAACTGACAGTGTGCTCTTTATACCTACCACCAGGTATAGCGCTCCCGGTGGTTGAGCTGCATCGGCTTGTCGATGAGCTTCCACCTCCGGTCCTGGTAGTCGGCGATTTTAATGCCCATAGCCTGGCGTGGGGATGCGACACGACTGGCACTCGTGGTCGACTTTTAGAATCTTTTATCCGCGATGAGGCGCTGTGTATTTTAAATACAGGACAGCGCACCCATTTTACAACACCCTCCGGTCAAACATCGGCTCTGGACCTGAGCTTAGTCAGTCCGCGGCTAGCTCAGCTTCTTACCTGGTCCGTCCATGACGACCCACTCGGGAGCGACCACTTCCCAGTGTGGCTGGAGCACCAGGAGTCCCCAGTGTCAGGCAACCGTCCACCTAGGTGGAATGTTCGGAAGGCCGACTGGGGCGAATTCCAGGCCGCCGTAGAGGCCACGGTTTTATCCAGAGCCGACGCCTCTGTGATGTCCACAGATGATTTTACATGTTTACTCATTGACTCCGCAAACGGGTGCATACCCAAGACGTCGAGTCAGCCTCGTCGTCCTCCGGTCCCGTGGTGGACCAAGGAATGCGGAGATGCGATTCGTGCCAGGAAGCGCGCTTTTAGAAAGTTTGACCGGAGTAGTACTACTGAGAACCTCATCGCTTTTAAGAAAGCGCGGGCTTTTGCCCGTCGCGTTTTAAAAGAGGCAAAGGCTGTTTCATGGCGCACGTACGTGAGTTCCTTAAACCGTTTTACTCCTACGACCCAGATATGGGCACGCATGAAGCGCATTGAAGGCCGGTTCAGCTCTGTTCCGCTTCCGGTTTTAAGAGTGAACAACACGGACATATCCCACCCTTTACACGTCGCAGAGACGATAGGCCGTGCACTCTATCAGCGCTGCCGAGGAGAGCCGTCCTCACGACCTGCACCAGCCGCCGTGGACTTCAGCACAGCTGAAAATTCGATGTACAATGAGCCTTTCTCTATGGCTGAGCTCACGTCTGCCATCAGCTCGTTGCGCAGCGTCTCAGAAGGTCCGGATGCTGTCCACAACGACATGCTCCGTCATCTCCCAGCAGTTGCCCTCGAGGCGCTGCTAGCAACTTTCAATTCGCTTTGGGAGACTGGCACTTTCCCTGAGACCTGGCGGGAAGCCACTATCATTCCTATTTTGAAGGCTGGCAAGTCGGGACATGACCCTCTCCACTATCGGCCCATCTCTCTCACATCATCGCTTTCAAAGCTGATGGAGAAGATGGTCAATGTGCGTCTTAGCTGGTTTTTGGAACATCACGGTGTTTTTACAAACGCCCAGTGCGGTTTTAGAAAGCACCGCAGCCCTGTTGACCACATTTTAGCCCTCGACACCGAGATACGCACCTGTTTTACTGAAAAGAAGCACCTTGGAGCACTGTTCTTTGATATTGAGGCGGCCTATGATACAGTGTTACGACACAGAATACTTTCCAAAGTACACAAGTACGGCATACGCGGCCGGATGGGCCTCTTTATTAAGAACTTTTTATCGGGTCGTCGGTTCAAAGTCCGAGTTGGCAGTAGTCTTTCGAGCAGTTTTACTCAAGAGAACGGAGTTCCCCAGGGCGGGGTGCTTAGTGTGGCTCTCTTTGCAGTGGCGATTAATGACATCGCTGATGATCTGCCGGTCTCGATCGGTAGATCGCTCTTCGTGGATGATTTTGCCATTTGGTTTGCCGCTTCAAGCGCTCGGCATATGGCCAGACAGCTGCAGCTTGCAGTGACGCGGTTGGAGAGATGGAGTCGTGACAACGGTCTTCGTTTTTCAACAACGAAGACCGTCGCTATGCACTTTTGCCGCCGCCGCTGCGGCGACCTTCCCTTGGGAATCCAGCTCTATGGACAGGTGATTCCTACTCGTCCGGTGGCGAAGTTTCTTGGGATCTTTTTTGACAGTCGTTTAACGTATAAAGAACATTTTAGAACGCTTCGGGAACGATGTTTTAAATCCCTGAACGTTTTAAAATGTGTCGCCCGCACATCTTATGGTGCGGACCGCAGGACCCTTCTTCTTCTATATCGATCTATTGTACGATCGAAGCTAGATTACGCTTCTTTTGTCTACGATTCAGCGAGTGAATCTAGCAAGAGGGTCCTGGATACAGTCCATCATGCAGCACTCCGAGTAGCCACCGGAGCATTCCGCACCTCGCCCAGGAGCAGCATTCTTGCTGAGGCGCATGAACCGCCACTTTCACTCCGCCGTCAGATGTTGGGTATGCGGTACGCGCTGAAACTGCGCCAATTTCCTATGCACCCGACGTACCCATACGTCTTTTCACGGCATGCCACCCGATGTAACGGAAGGTTACGACCCTCGTTCGGAGTGCGCATGAAAGAACTGTTTTCAATAGCTGACATAGCATTGCGTAACGTTCGTCGTACCTGGGCTGCGCCCCCTCCACCGTGGAAAAGTGTCAGTCCACAGGTGGATCTTTCGCTTTCTGCAGTTCCAAAGGGCAAGTTGCTGCCTGCAGAGGCACGAGTCCGAGCCTTGGAACACCTTGCCTCTTACGATGGTTTTATTCCTGTATTCACAGACGGCTCTAAAACACCTGAGGGAGCGGGCTGTTCTTTCGTCGCTGGCGACGATACCCGTTCATTTTCGTTGCCATCTTTCGCCTCGGTGTTTTCATCGGAACTTGTTGCCATCGAGAAGGCTTTGTGTTTTATTGAGGTATCGGACGGACCTTTTTACTTGATTTTATCGGACTCCCTAAGCAGCCTGTTGGCCCTGCGGAGTTTTAATCCAGCCGACCCGATCGTTCAAGACATTTTAGCTCGGCTTCAGTCAGTAGAACAATCGGGTAAATCTGTTCAGTTCTGCTGGATTCCCAGTCACGTTGGCGTTCATGGCAATGAGCTGGCAGACGCGGCTGCAAGGCGTGCTGCTGCAGCACCCTGCACTCGTCGGTTGCCATTGCCGGCGCGTGATTTTTACCCTGCTGTACGATCTTTTATTCTAACGGAGTGGCAGGCAGAGTGGCGCCTGCGTGGAGGCAGGAAGCTCCGAGAGGTGAAGCCGACTCTGGAGCATTGGAGGTCTTGCTCGCAAGACAACAGGTCAAACGAAGTGATTTTATGCAGGCTCCGCATCGGTCATACGTATGCGACGCATGGCCACCTTCTCCGCGGAGATGAGCAGCCCGTTTGCGGCGGGTGCGCCGTGCCTCTCACCGTCGCCCACGTGCTTTTATCTTGTCGACGCTTGGAACCGGACCGGACTCGCTACCTGGGCCGCATCGCTCCGGATATCACCGTCCGCCACTTGCTGGGTGACGAGTCACCCTGGGTTTTATCTGGCAACATCTTTTCCTTTATCCGTTCAATCAAATTCCAAGTAATCTACTCGATCTGATACCAAACCAACTAGTCCATACGTCTATTCTAATCTAGTCCTTACGCCTAGTCAGCTGTCTTTTACGATACGCTTGGAGTATTTTACCCTTCTTTGCTCTTTTTAACCAGCTTTTAGGCTTTTTTAAGCCTTTTATTACGTCGGTTTTCTCGTGACACACTTGCTTTACTTGTATATAGTTATGGGCGCAAAATGACCTTGTAGTCGGCGCGCCCTTAAGCCCCAATAAACAACAAGAACGACTCCATGCGTCACAACAGCCCGGGCACCCGCCGAATTGCTTTTTGGGAGACTGCCTCGGACAAAGCTCTCGCTCCTCAAGCCCAGTGTTGCAGCGCGGATGCGACATGAGCCTGTCGACACTGTCTCACGATCATTTCTTGCAGGTCAACCTGTCTTGGTTCGAGATCTGCGGCCAGCAGCTACCGAGAAATGGCAGCGCGCTGTCGTCGTCGCCATTGGAGGCCCACTGACGTACAGCGTGCGGCTGCCGGACGGTCGCATACGTCTCGCCCACGTGGATCATCTGCTGGCCGACGGCTCTGCTTCTGTGACGGCTGAGCGTGGGCCCCTCGATGCGCGGGTGACGGTGCCGCCTCCGACGGAGCCGGGAAAGCTTCGCGGTCCAGCAGTGCCATGTGTGATGGACGCTAGGGGGCGTTTTCCGTATATCAGTGATTATAATAAGCGAGCAACATGCGAGGGCAATCGTGGCGCGCGTGCATCAGAGCCGGTAGAAGCGGCGCCGGCCTTGCGGCGCTCTGCTCGGCTGGCTAAAAAAACTTGTTAAAGGGGGAGGAGTGCTGTGAGCGCCGTCTATTTGCTGCATGTGCTGGTCGTGTGACCGCTCGTGTGACCGCTCGTGTGACCGCCCGGGCCGCCGCTCGGCGCAGCTGACCGACCGACTGCCTGGGGGCGGGGTCGAAGGTCGGGGAGCTGCGCGGTCGAGACGAACCGCCGCTGACCGACTGATGGTCACTCTCTGACCGGCCGTGATCCAATACAGTCCGTCTGATGAAGGAGTGCTTGTGAGTGAGACGGCGGCAACATAACACAAACAATGTGGGTATCACCGGCAGAAAACCTAGGGATTCGGCGCACACGTTTGGTAACTGTCGGCCGGAGGCTGTACCTCTTATGACGTCATAACTCCGTGACCTGACATGACCCGATCAATTTTTTTCGGCAAAAGATGCGCAAAGGTTGCCCCAGAGGGTAGGTATTGAAAATTTCAGCCCGCTACGACAAGCCGTTTAGCGTGCACTTCGAAAAAACCTCAGGGGGGGGGGGGGTTGATACAACCCCCCCCCTAGGCGTTCTAGGGATAATAGTGGGGAATAAATGTCTCGTTATCGGAATTCCACTATCTGGCAACTAGCCCTATGTAAACGCGGTTATTATATGTTTCACTAGGAAACGAGCGCAATTGTACTTTTAGCCAGAAAATAAATGCTTGGGTAATTCTGGGACACTCTGTATTAATTGGAGGAATAGGACTTAGGAGGAAATGCGATTGCAAATCGACCCACATCCCTGTGTTAGCCAATGACGCCTTTGGGGCCAAGGTTGGGGGGTATTCAGTTTAGCCTTTTTGTTTTTCTGTGATATCTCCGGCACTGTGAAACTTATATCCAGTAGCCAGTAGCCACTCAGATGATTTTGGATCAATCAGGTGATAAGCGTACTTTCAGACGACCAGGGGCCCCCAGTCGACCAGGGGTTCCCAGGCGACCAGGTCCTCCAGATGACTAGGGGCCCCACTGCCCCAGGCGACCAGGGCCCTCCAGGCGACCAAGGGCCAATGCGATCACTGATCAGGTCCCCAAAGCGATCAGGGGCCCCCAGGCGATCAGGGGGCCCCCATGCGACCAGGGGGCCCCATGCGACCAGGCCCCCGGCTACCAGGGGCCCCCAGGCGACCAGGGGATCCCAGGCTACCAGGGGCCCAAGGCGACCAGGGTCCCCCAGGCGACTAGGGGCGACTGGGGGCCCCAGGCAACCAGGGGCCCCATGCGACCAGGCCCCCGGCTACCAGGGGCCCCCTGGGCGACTAGGTACCCCCAGGCGATCAGGGGCCTCAATATCATGCAACCAGAGGCCCCCCATGCGACTAGGGCCCCCTAGGCGACTAGGGGCCACAGACTATCAGGGGCCCATACGACCAGGCTCCCGGCTATCAGGGCCCCCTAGGCAACTAGGGGCCCCCAGTCGATCAGGGGCCTCATGCGACCAGAGGCCCCCCATGCGACCAGGGCCCCCTAGGCGACTAGGGGCCACAGGCTATCAGGGGCCCCCATGAGACCAGGCCCCCGGCTACCAGAGGCCCCCTAGGCGACCAGGGGCCCAGGAAACTGGGGGCCCTTGGATGACTGCAGGGGCCCCTCGGGTACCCAGGGCTTATAAATGAAACTTTAATATCAATTTTTCTTCCGAGTAAAAGACGTTTTATCCAGTGTTTAAAAAATATCCTGGGGCCTGAGGGGCCCCCTGAGCGCCTTCGGCGCTCAGGGGGGGGCCTTGGCCCCCGTGGCCCCCCCCCTTGGGTACGTCACTGCTTCTGCCACATCGAGTGGTTGATATGTCTAGGGGGATTCGTAGATAAAGTGTCAGCTGCCACACTGCGATGATGGTTCACACGCCCCACTGATCTCCGCCCAACACACCCGTCCCTCTGCCCCTCCATACCATTCATCACACCATCACACAAAGACACGTACAGTAGGCTAAAATATATTCAAACAGGCCGAAAAGGGTAAACGTCAATGATTGAACAATGCCTGGAGTCCTTAGAAGCCAAAAAGTAAACGTTGCCAAAAAGGGCGGACTCAGGCTGAGAATACACGGTATATGTTACCGTGGTAAAAAAAGTGGCCGAAATAGAGTGATAAAGAATAATATGCCGAAGCATATCAAGGTTACCGAAAATAGAATGGCCGAAACAGTGCCGAAACATATAATAGTAGTCGAAACAGAATGCCAAAACAGTGCCAAACCAAAATGGCCGAATCACCAGAATATAGACCGCTTAGTGGTCGCTCGATTAGTATTTATCGAGCTCTTCGGTCGATTGGGGTGGGTGAAGCCGTGTCTTGGCTTGGCATCAGGAGAGTGTTTGCCGGTGGCTCCATCCATAGGCTGTAGTCTTGCTCTCTGTAAACGGGAAAGGTTAAACGGACATGATATTGTAGTGTAGTTTATCGGCTCGGTCCATCTCGTACGTTGTGCCTGTGGAAAGTGCTAGGGGTAGTAGCCCGCGCCCTGGTGGGGTCTGTTTATAACGCGACCTGGTGGGGGGGGGGGCTATTTTTTGCCCCCCTCGTATCTCCGAAACTACTGGACGGATCCGCAAAATTCAAACGGCGTTCGAAAGGCCTGTCAAATTTGTCGAAGGAAACCAAATTTCATTGACCTCGGGGTCACCGATGACGTCACAGGTCAGGTCAAAGATGAAATGTTTCACCGTTCACGGGTCTTCTAGCCCGCGCCCTGCTGGGGGGGGTGTTTGAACACCCCCCCTTGTGGTTTTTCGCGAATATCTCAAAAACGGCGGCGCGGAGCGCCGCCGTTTTTGGTACACCTTATCATACATCAATTCTACACATGTTGTGAAAATTTCAGACCAAGGTCATTCAAGGTCAGGTCACCAGGTCACTTGAAGTGACCTCACCTCATAAAAAGTTTCAATGTCTGTCATAGCTACACCGAGTGACCGATCGCTTTGAAACTTTCAGCGATTGCTAAGAGCAATAGCATGTACAAAATGTATATCTCAGAATTTTGATATCGATGACCTAAGGTCAGGTCAATTTTGCGACCTCCCCATTATAAGTCAATGGGAGAAAATTGAAATGCGCCTCTTTTGGATGAAAGACATTATAAACACTCCCAAACACCGAATTACAAGTGGTTTAGACACACTGAACATGAAAATGGTGTCCGTGACCCTTGTTTATGCCCTGAGGTCATCTTAGGTCACGAATGGTATCTAACAGTTTTTCGCAAATAACTTTTGATAGAGGCATGCTAGAGCGATGAAAACGCCTTAGATGTGTTCAGCTCGACGATACGGATCGACTGATATGCAACATGACCCTTTCCGGTCAGGTCATGACCTTGACCTGAGGTCAAATTTTCAAGTTGACCTTTCAAGGTCAAGTTATAGTTCATTCGATGCGTCTTGACGAGAGGAACACGATGCCGGTAAAAGTAAGCTCGTACAGGGCTTGGGTCAAAAGTTATTGCAGAAAAACTGTTTCCGAAAAAATCGGCTATTTTTGCAGTTTTTGCCCCCTGCAGGCAAAACCGTTGACGCTAGGTCAAATCTGAGAGAATTACTCAGAAAGGGCGTTAATAGGGCTATCGAATGCGCTTTTCCGCGGCGCTGTAGCTCTATTGGTTCCCGAGTTATGCGTTGGCTTCTTGGAAATTTTCGCCATTCGACCTGGAAATCGGCGAAATTTTGCCTTCAATGACCTCTGGTGACCTGACCTTTGACCTGACCAAAAAATTGACCGAAGTGATTTCGTCATTATTTTTGACGCTCTTTCGAACGCCGCCTTCCGCGTATCGCTACGTGGCCCAGGAGCCGAGTTACAAGGGGGGGTGTTCAAACACCCCCCCCCCCCAGCAGGGCGTGGAAATCCAGGACCCCCAGCCGGGCGCGGGCTAGGGAATGCGCTATAACACCGAGGAAAACGCATTTTGTCGAGAATCAGCGGTAGGGCGTCAGTTGCCTAGTAGATATGTTGCTATCAGAGGTCACTGGCAATACCAGGTCAGGTCACAGGTCAGGTCACCAAGGGTCACAGGTCAGGACACATGAGTCCAACTTTACTAAGGTTGTGTGATACATGTTTTATGGCCAATTTTTCATTTCCAACTCAATGGTGTTGGTTATAAGACTATCAGGTACGGCTTAGGTCACTTTCTGGTGAAGTTCAGGTCAAGGTCAGGTCAAGGTCAGGCCAAAAAAGGTCAAATTTTAAAGTTGATAGTTTTGCATAAAATGGGTATTGATTCGATGCAGCTCGTCACGGGGAGTCTAATGGTGGTCTTTGTTTTGCGCTACGGGGTCTAGAATTGCTAAAAATTGAGTTTGAAAGTTTGACGTCATCAATTTTGAACAGTTTTTTCGCTATAACTTCGCCAAAAAAAGAGGTATCAATCTGAAATTTGGTATGTGGATGGAAGGTGGTGAGGACTATCACATATATTCCGGTTTTTGCGAAATTCAAAAAACTTTTTGGATTTTTCGATTATTATATCAAAAAAATCTATTTTTTGATTTTTGGGGGTTCAAATCCAAAAATTTCAAAAATCCGAGATAGCAGTTTTGTAGCCCTGTCTAATCTACAGATTTTATTTTTTTTATCATTTTTCTGTATTTGCAAAGTTATAGGCCTGACAGCTCTTCCCGCGAAACCCTTTTTTGGGTCGAAAACGGCAAAACATGACGTCACTCTGACGTCATTTCCGGCCAACCTATCATAGCCTTTGGAAAAATTTTTGGTCACAATGTGTAAAATTGATGTCCGGGAGGGTACTGAAAGTTTGGTGACGATCGGCGCAGCGGTTCTGGAGATATATCGAAAAGTCTGGAGGGGGGGCAAAAAATAGCCCCCCCCCCCACCAGGTCGCGGGCTAGGGGAGACTGCAAAACCTGTAAAGAATACCAGGGTAGCTCGGTGAATAGCCTGGGCCTATTGTCGCCGGAATCAGTGTCTGTAAATAGAGAAGGTTAGAGGGGATGAGGAATACCTCACCTTGGGTCGGCACGGCCGACCAAAGGTAATGAGACTCACGCGCTGACATTGTGGGGTTGCTGATGGAGCGTACCGCCGAGTCGGAGCACTGCACAGTGGTCCGGATTGCAGATCGAAAGTGTCAGTGGTTTGGAGGTGAGCCCTTTTATACGCCACCAGCAGTCGTTAGTAGCTCTTGACATGCAAGTGTTTATACAGATTACGCAGACCTCGTCTTCATTATCGTTTGTTTTCCGAACTCACTAACCTTCACCCGT